AAAAATAAAGGTTTATGAAAAATTTTAATAAATCTTCAAATAAAAATTTTACAATTAGAATTATTAAGTGTATTAGAGAATGTCATTTTTACTTATTGGCTAGATATAGATTCTGTTGATTCTAAGATATTTTAATCTATACCATTCGACTGAAATAACATCAGAAAATTGTAAAAACTCTATACTCAATAATCTTTGCTTTCATTTAATATTCCTTGTAAATACATTATTTGTTATTAGAGATCTACTCGTCTCGAAAAACAAGGGAAGGTCAACATAGTTCTGTTTTTCCTTGCTGAATTAACAATCAGTATAATAATTAATAGAAACAGCTTGTAGTTCGTACTCTCGCTATGGAATCAATGCAGTCATATACGACACACAGTACGGATCGACTAACTAGACAATTGTTTGCTGATGCATTCAAGAAGAAAATCGAGTCAATTTGACCTCGAACATGTATGCAAAGACTTGTATTGATTATTAGGTCTTGTGTGGAGTTCTATTTTTTAATGAAACTAACTACTAGAAATATGTCCTCGTTTTTTGTTTTTTCCTTAAAAAAAAACCAAATAATTATATTGCTGATAAGTTCAATTCTAATGTCGTTCAATATCATATAAATGTTCATGTTGTTTTCTCATTGAATTGGAAGGAAGTTTATTTATGATAAAATACAATTATATCTCAATTGATAGTTCTATGTTAAAATGAAGTTTGTTTTAAAATTTTCTGAACATTTTTCCTAGTAAATTATAATCGTTTTCTCTCTTCGTAAGGATAATTTAGACTGAAATTTTCCGAGATGAGTGGTCCTAATGTGAAATCCAATACATTCAACTGCACTAGAGTTCCGATACATTGACAATTCCTTTTGTTGCCTTCAGAAGAATCTTTAAGGCTCTGCCGTTTAGAGGACTAGAGAGCTCGAGACAGATTCAAAGTTATACCAATATTTCTTCATAACTATTGTTCGAGTTAAATTTTGAAATTTACTTTCGTTCATTTTCTATAGAAATTTTATGGTGCTTGAGGTTAAAATAAGCCTGAAAAACAAAAAGATTTTTATTTACAGTTTCAAAACAAAAAAATGAAAAATGAATCACATCTTAAATCCTCAAGGACGAATTTTATTTATTTTTTATTGAAAATCAGATTCAGAGTAAAACTTTTAATAAGTTTAGAAATTTGTTTTTATATTCAAATTCAACAAATATATATGTAAAATAGATCATCCATCGAATAATTGAAACAAAATTTTCTCGAAGTATGTAATAGATGAAGTTAACAAATATCACTAATAAAAAAACTCGATTCCTTCAAAAACCTTTGTAGTGCTGTACAATTTTTGTGAATTACATTTTCAATATTGAAACCTTTTTCTAATTGTTAGTATCAATGTAATGATTCATATGAAGCCATTTTATTCTATGTTGATACCAGAGGAAAGATGATAGTCTGTTTAAAACTGAAAGATTTTTAAAAGTTATGCAAATAATTCGAAAAACAAGATAGTAAAGCCTAAATTTTCGCTAGTAAGTCAATTAAAATCGGACTTCTTTGCAAAAGAAACCATATATATATTCGAAGACAGAAGATTTCGAAACATCTTCTTAAATAACAAAAATTCTTTTTTCGAAAATTTGAATTTTCTAATGGAAGAGGAAGGGACTTCATCAAAGTATTCGTTTTAACAAACCTCATAAACAAGTCCATCATCATCAGACCATACAGCATATACATGTGTTTCGGGTTCAATAGGCCAAGTACTTGACATTCGTTTTGATGTAGATCTTGAAGAATCGGATCTATCTGTTGGTGGTATTGGTGTTGGTATTGGTGATGGCACTTGAACCGTTTGAGCATATTCAACTTTAACTTGTGTTTTAGCTGGTTGGTCTTGTAAAATTATAACTGCATTCAATAGATCTTCTAAGATCTACGAATGAAAAGAAAAAAGTTTAATATTAAAATTTTATTTATTATTACTTTTTGAAGTTGATTAAAACGTTTGTTATGTGATTTACTAATATGTGTAAGTTTTTCTGTTAATGGATCGCTAAATTCATGAAGAAGATCTAAAAAAAAAATTAAATGAATAGAAAAAAAAGAAGATTGTTCTAGTGAGTTGCATACTTTTAACGTCGTCTTGGGATAGCGATGATGATCGTGGTGATGTTTCTGGTTCTTTGAGGATTCGACATTGATGCGTTACAGGTATTTGACTAAAGAAAAGATTTAAATAAAATTTGATCACGAAAAAAAAAACAGAAGAAGCTTACTTAATATTTTCAAGATAAAGAACACTTCTTTGAAAAAGTCCTAAAGTGATTCTAATTATATCTTTTCGATGTACATAAATCTAAAAAATCTCTTTTTTAATTTAATTTCTTATCTTCATCTCTGAATTCCTACTTTTTTTGGACTTGGATCATATATTTGTATCATATATAAATTAGATGGTAAAACATATGATGATGGAAGACATGAAACAACACCTGGTACCCAATATTCTTCCATCTCTTTGATTTGACGAACAAGTACATAATCAAGTAGAAATAAAATAAGTTGACTATTTGAATTGTTTAAAGGTAAGAGAGTATGTCCACTTGCTTCCTGTTCAATATCCATATCAAATAAAACAACTATTCGACCATCTTGATTTTTTTGTATTGTACCCGTATAGAAATAACCATCACCATCATAACGACAAATAACTCGTTTACCAATACTTTGATTCATTGATGATTTTCGTTTTATGATTTGTTTTTGTTCAAGTTTTTGTTTTGATTCAGTCTAATAAAAAAATTTTTCTTGATCTATAATTTTAAACTAATATATAAAAAAAAAATGTTTACATTAGTTCGTTTTTTATGTCGACGTATATCAGTTGAAATTTGTAAAAATTTTATAGCACGTTTTATTTCAACATCCATACGCATAACTCCTTGTAAAGCTGATTCAACTTCAGCATTTTGTAAAGCATTTTTTAATAAATTTTCAGTTTTTTCATCATAAATAGGAGGCTTTTGTAATAAACTATTCAAAAGAAAAAGAAAAACAGAGAAAAATTTTTTCTTAAAAAAACATTCTCTGTCTACTAACTTATTTTGTTCTTCGACGTTTAATTTTCGCCATACAAATAATTCCAATGCACTAAAAGATAAATCATAAAATATTTTATTGTGAGATTAAATATTATTACCCTTCATTTTTATGTTCTTCTTTGGTTATTTCTTGAGCATATCTATGATTAATAAAATATTTACAATAACAAATAGAAAGATCAAATAGAATTTTAACTTACTTATATTGATCTTCTTTTGATAAACTAATCCAATAGATATGTGGACCAATTCTAAATAAAATAATTGAACATCAGATATCGAAATGAGAATTTTATTCAACTAAAGAAAAAATTTTCATTCTTGTTAAAGTCAATTAAGAGTCGTAAGAATATGTTATGTATTGAGTAAAAATTAGCAAAGTCGAATATCTTGAACTTGATAATTTGTATTATTAATTGATCAAGACTTTAAAACAAATTTAATATTAATCTATTTCATGCAATATTATCCAAACGCTGTCAATTAGAACAATTATTTCAGAAATTCTCAAATATGATCATGTCATTCATTAAGGATTTCATCTGTACTATTATAAATCACTTACCTTTGTTTATCTTCATCATTTAAACATTTCCAAATGAATTTCGAAGTAAATCTTAAAGAATAAAATCGATCATTTTATATATGTCAATATATATTATATCTTACTGATAATAATCAGTAATTAAGTCTTTAAGTTTGATTTCATATTGCTCTAAATTAACAGCATAATGATTAACTAATCGGAGTTTATTAACATTTGATGCATATGTTAATGGTAAAATCTAAATATGAAAACCAAAACAAAAAAGAAGGATTTTATTGAATATAATTATATATAAATGCTTACATCATCCCAAACTTTGGCAAGTACATAACGATCAATTACTTGAACATGATGTGGCTCTTTTACTGGTACCGATATCGGATGAAGTACATCAAATATAGTTAAATGTCTTGAAACTAAACTATTCTTTTTTAAATATGAATTTACTTCATCAAATGGCGTTCTATTTATAAAAATATAGATAATGATATAATTTTATAACAGGAAAAATTTTACGGAAGTTTTTTTGTTGATTCTGTTAAGAGAGCTAGAAAAAAAAAGAGAATAATAAAATTATTTGTTATTATAATAAATTTAGTTTGACCTTGTGGTTGTTGTTCATTTTCTATAATTGATGTATATTGTCGTTTTCTATCACTATTTTTTAAATATTCTTCTGTTTCTGGTAAAAGCCATTGACTATAATTTAAATTATTTGTATTTGTTTGTTCAAATAATCGTGTTGCTTCAAAGAATTTATATTAAGTATTTAAAAAAAACAAGTATTGTTTTTTTGTTTAGGGTTTCAAATGTACCTGATTTAGTTTTTCGTTTACGATTTGAACTTATTGATGAACGTTTTTTTCGATCTATTCTTTGTGACATTGGAGCTATTAAAAAATTAATAATTTTATTTTGTCGCTCAGAATAAAAGAACCACTAGTAGTGTGTGTCGTTCTCATAACAACGTCAAAAAATTGCAGAAAAAAAAACATTCTAACAGAAAGAAGAATTTTTTTTTTCTTCCTCAGAATCTATGCTGGTTTTGATTTCAAAGGTAATAAAAACTCTTGAGAAGAAAACGATGAGATAAGCAAATTTGCCATCTATTATAAACTTGATACCAATTTAAGATGCATTTTATTACTTAGAAGAATCAAAAAACGTCGTTGTACAATGATGAATGGTAAGATAATTTCACTTTGCAATTTTTATATTATAAACATGTAAAAATAAGAATTCTAGTAGTGTCTTAGGATGTTTTATAGAAGTATCATAATGATAGAAACTTTTTTTTTAAAACTATTAACAAGAAACTTAGTTAACCTTGAAGACTAGTCACGTTTTCAGAAATCGTAGTGACGTATTAAATATATTCAGATAGAATCGATTTAATGTTTTCAAAAACTTATAGACTTTTTCTTTGTTCATTTTACAAGTAAAACTTCTTGGAAGAATTAATTAGTTTTTTTTCTGATTTGAAAGAGTGTATTTAATGGTAATATTTAAGGGGTTTAGTTTTTATTACATCGGAAAAATATGATTTTTAACATCGTTATAGTACGATTAAACTCGCAAGTATATTCTTTTATATGAAAAGTTATAAGATTTACATAAGCGATTTATCATACTCGTTGCGTGCGTGTTTTTCAATCAATTTAAAAATAGTAAATTCTTATAATAAAATCATAAGAATCTCCGTGTATAACTTACAACTACCCGATTGAAGTGTCATATCCAATGTTTGATAATTTCGAAATGGTAATGAAACTGAAAGTTCATTCACTTGTAAACTTGGATATGTTGTTTGCACATTATCATGTGACCATGCACGACTGATACATTCATCACGTAAATCAGCTATACGTTGTAAATCTTTTTCACCATGTGCTAATTCTTGTTTAAGATAACTAATATCTTCACTCTATATAAAAAATAAGAAAATATTTATATTTAATAAAAAATAAAAATAAAATAACTTCAGGAATTTCAATTGATAATTCATTTTCAAAACCATAATTAAATGCATGAAAACGTCCGCCTGTTTGTTTAGCTAAATCAAATAAAAATTGATTTGCTGTTGAATCTTGACAATTAAAAGCTATTGTATGAATTGGAAGTTTTTGACGATATTGAACTTGTGAAAGAATATGTCGTTCATTCTAAAAATTAAAATAAAATTCTTTCATAAATTTTATATAATTTTAATTAAAAAAAAATTTTACTTGATCAGGTCGTCCATCAGTTAATAAATAAATAGCTTCTGTACTAGGATCAGCAAATGCATAACGAATTGCAGCTAATGTATTTGTTGATCCTTCAGCATAAAGTCCATCAATCCATGGTTGAAGTTGTGAATTTATTATTGAAGTATTTATTTTTGTTAAACGATCACGCCAAGGATTAATTGTTGTATTAAATGATACTATATTAATACGTTCTTTGCTAAATAGTTGATCCTAAACGTTTTTTTGTTTTTTTTTTATAAAATTTTAAATACAAAAATTAATATTGATATAATACTTGGATTAATAAACGAAGTTTTTCTTTGAGAAAAGTCAAATGATCTTGCATACTTTTTGATGTATCAATTAGAAGATAAATATTATTTTCTATTATTGTACCAAAAATATCACGACTTCCTTTTTTTAACCATTGTAATCTAAAAATTGAAAGATATATATGTTATTTAAATGTTTCATTATTAACTATTCTATCTATTAGAAATTTACCGTGCTTTAACTTTTTCAAGTAAAGCTTTCATTCGTCTTTCATAATCTCTATAATAAATAAATCAATAAATGTATATAAGTATAAATTTCATTATTATTATTATACCGATAAAGTTCTGGTGTAACATAAACATGTCGAATTGTTCCATCTGGCCATGTAACATGAGCAAATTGATCACAATATTTTGCATTGATTAATTTATCTTTGGAAATCTAATAGTCATATAAATTATTTCATGCGTCGTTAAGGAAAAACAAGAACTATATAAATCCGAACTGATATCCGCTATTTCAGCTGATGTTAAGTTCACAAGAAGGTCTAGATAAGACTAGAAAAATTTTTAAAGGGTTCGTGTCCATAGATCTCTGAAGCTGAATTATGATCGTTTTACTGAATTTTTGATTCAGCTTCAGATATTTACTGAAAAAAGCAAACAACGATATTTCGATCTGAAATTTCGTCAATAAATAGATCGAATGACTCTGAGAATATCTCGAACGTTTCAGCTGAAAACAATGTTTCTTTGTCGAGATATTGAATTTTCAAGTAAACTCGATTTTTGTGATATAACTGTGGCAAACAAATATCTTTTTCGACTGGAACTTTCAGGATATTTCCAGAGTGAGTCATTCGATCTATTTATGGACGAAATTTTAGATTGGAATATCGTTATTTGATTTTTCAGTCAATACCTAAAGTTGGATTAAAAATTCAGTAAAACAGTCATAACTCAGGTCTAGAGACCTGTTGAACACGAATCCTTTTACGATTTTCTAGTCTTATCGAGACCTCCTTAAGAACTCAATATGAACTCAAACGGCGGATATCAGTTCTGGTAGTTTCTTCGTAAGAAAAACGGTTAGCTACGAAAGACAATAACTATCCCTTTGGACTTCATATAGCACTAAGAACAGTTTTGATTTCTAAAGTTGAGTTGCAGAACTCTACAAATAACAAATAGTTCTGAAATGTTTCAACATATTCTTATCATTCAAGGATGATTTTACATCTGTGTTTTTTTATATATAATTTGCTAAGAATAAAAACAAAAAAATTTATTTACAGCTTGAGTATAATTATTTTTTCCATTGACACTATCTGTTGACTTCAATGAAGTAACAACTCCATCACAATGTTGTAAAGCAGCTGATTGAAGAACAGAAAAAAAATCTAATTTTTGTGCATTTATTCCATAGATTTTTAGCCAATCTATTGATGCCATATCTTTTTCATCATTATTAAATAATGCTGATGATTGTATAACAAGACTTCGTTGTAAATTATTTTCATTTTTATTTATTTTATTAGACGTATTAATTGAATCTAATGATTTTGTTGCTAAAATTAAAGAAAATCTAAATCTTATTTTAATTTATGCGATAAATTTTTACTATCAATTTTTTGTATTGGATTCACATTTTCATCTCGTACAGATCCAAGAATTTTTTCTAAACGATCAATTATATTTTGACATTGAAGTATTTCTTTATATATTAATGACGTATCAGTTGGATGTTCAGTTTTAGGTATTAATGTATTTGTACCAAATTGTAATTTATTATCTTGTAATTTAATTCGTGTTGGATCATTTACATTTGATGAAGATTTTAAATCAATTATTTCATTGTTAATTTTATATGACATATAACTATGAAAACAAAAAAGAAATTAAAAGAATAAATAGTTTTTTTTTTTTTTTATTATTAACGCATACCTGCCATCAGCAGTTTGAGCTATAGATTGAAGAAAAATTTCTGTATCATTATTATGACAAAATAATGAAACAACATGTATAGGTATAGATGCTTTTGATGAAAGACGTGTTTTAACAATATTATCTCGTAACATTTCACGTGCTGAATCAGATGAAGTACCTTCACTTATTAAATAAATACTATGAACCTTAATGTAAAAAAAAAATAGATATATATACATTGAAATATAAGGAAAAATAAATTCAAAAAAAGATTTACAGCGTTATTAAATGCTTTAAGCATAGCTTCACATGTTGCACTCATTGAAATTTTACTTCGAAGACATTTTCGATTCGATATCCAATCAATCTAAACAAATATAATGAAATATGTATAATTAAGTCATTATTTAAAATTTTATATTATTTCATTTTGTAATTTATGAAATCAATGAATTATATAAATTAAGATATGATTCCCATTCAGTTGACAAAACAAATACGTAAATGTAATCTTTACTAAAAATATCTAATGTCATTTTAAAATGTTTATATATGAGAAAATAGATGAAGATTTTGATGAAATGTGTTTCAAACGAATTCAAATCCAACATTTTTTTCGAACTAACTGGAAAATTTAATGTTTTGAATAGTTGGACAAATGAAAAAGAAAAGTCTTATCATTGATTAACTTTTGATACAACTTCGTGTCTAACTTTGGATTATCGATTATTTTTCTATTTCTAGAGAACATGCAGTTCTAGTAATCATATCTATTTGATGTTCATACATATTTAAGGTCAAATCCTCTGTCAAAAAATGCGATTTTGATGCTGTTGGATAACTCTCAATGTGTATTTCCAAAAATAATACGATTTACCGAATTTATTATGCTTTTTTTTACAGTTTGTTTTCTATATCGCTTTATTAAGAAAGAAGCTTGGATTCCTAAGCCTAACTTTGTTTTATATTTTTCTCGAAGTAAAATTTTCTATTTTTTCTTGTTCTTGTGTCAAAGATTTCTCGATCATTTTACAAACTAGAAAAACCGAGAAGGGGTAATTTGAAGAGAAAATTGTGCTCGACAACCGAACAGAGCTAAAATTTTCATTTTCGACTTACTTTTCGAATTTTTTGAGAGAAATTTTCATCAGAAATATTAAAAAAAACAATATTTTGAAATATTGGAATCTGTTAAGTTGTAGCAGTAGGCCTTGATTGTATTTTAAAATCAACTCGAAATCTATATCATTAGATTTGAAGGAAAAATTTTGGTCATGCGAAGTCTTACTTTTTGACTCTTGATCTAATTGTAGCTCAATATTTTCGATCGATATATTTACTGTGAACCATTAGAAATCAGATACAGATTATCGGAAATTTTTTTTGATTATCTATAGAATTCAAATAGATTTATAGTTCACATCGCTAAGAAGATATTTTCTCATATTTTGTACTCTGTCTTTTTTTTAAAAATCAGTATTACGTAGAGAAGTTATATTTCTCTTCTTCTAAATCATCAAAAACTTACAGCTTGATCAATAGTTGTTGATGTAACATCAATCGGTTGTTGTTGAAATTGTTCATTATCATTTGAAACCCTAATTTTATTTATATCAAATAAATTTTAGTGATTTTTTTTTAATGCAAAATAAAAAACAAAAATCTCTTTACCAAATAATATTAAATCGTTTGATTTTTGTAACTTGTTCTTTAAATAAACTTATTAAAATCGTTTGAAATTGATTTAATATTCGTTGATCAGATGTTTTACAATCACATACAAAACAAACACTTGGTTCTCCAATTATTCCAAATGCACGACGTGATCCACTTGTTATAAATGTTAAACGTTTTCGTAATAAATTTAACATTCGTATCAAACGATATCGATATTCAGCTAATTTTTCCGGTCGACATGTCAACTAAAAAAAAAATCAGACTAAACACAAAATAAAACAATAAAAATTTCTTGATCTTACAACATATCGATCACCATTATCCTGTTGTATTTCATGATAAATATTACCAGCATATTTAGTATCGACTGTTTTACCACGTGATGCATTGAAATCTGTAATAATTTATTAACAAGAAATAAAAAAATGGAATATAGTTATTCCTCAATATAGGAATGAAGGACAAAAAAACAGAAATACTATTTTTTATTCAAAAATAACGTAGATTCATTATTGAAAATACATCGTTAGTTAAGATTTTAAAATCGATCTGACAAGTAAAACGAAAATTTTTGATATACAAAGTAATCTTCTTGATAAATATTTATCAACGGATGTCTTCGATTTAAGTAATACAATCAACTTATTTCTAGATTTATACTATAGAAGAAAAGTTTTACAATTAATTTGAAGCAATTAGATGTCATATATAAATTACAAAAGAATTCAATACAAATATTATAAAATGTAGATTTACCAAGGTGTATTAGTGTTTACTACAAACCACATCTTAGAACCGATTCATTTTCAAATAGTTTGTACACAAGAATTTCTACTCATTTCATCTCGAAAAAGGATTCCATATTATTCTAGTAATTTTTCAAACTGTTAATTATATTGTAAATATGTCATAGGATGATATTTTCAAAAATTCTATCAAGTTCTCAAAAACAGAGAACAATCTATTTTATCAACTTTTCAGAAAACACTTTTTTTTGTTATATGATAGGAAGAATATGATTCTCATTCTGAGTTGGACATGATCAACATTTTTTTTTTCATCTTGGAAATCATCACAAGACGCGTACTCTACAGAATACTATTTGAATCCTGCAGAAAGCCCAAGTTATCACATTGATCATGATTCAATGAAGTTCGCCGTGATGTTCTATTATTATCAATAGTAGTCAGAAGAGTAAATGACATATCAGCAACTACCGTGCTTCAGAAGAAAGATTATTTTAAGCTCAGCTGTGTTGACATTTGTTCAAAGCCGAATACGTTTATCATCAAGCGAAATGGACAACATTATTTATTCATTCTTATGAGAAATTCAAGAAAAAGAAAACTTATTCTTTCTCTTTGTCTATCCGTTAATATTGATTATATTTTAGATTCTGCATCTTTATGTTTGTTTTATTATTGTTTTCTTTTTTCACCTTATGAATGTCGGGTATCTTTTTTATTGTTCATTTCATTTCCACTAGAAAACATGTGATAAGAGTTATTAACACGATTACTGAAAGTGATTTTTATATCAATAGAGAGTCTATGATATTTGACATCGTACCTCACACATAGACAAGTTTAATAGTCTTGTCAAAAAAAGCAATAAAAAGATCGTCCTGCTAGGACGAAGAAAACGATCTGTGACATTCTCTATTTCATATTGCATTATCAAACGAAAGTCGTTTGTATTCAAAATTGTCTCGCTATAAAACGTCGGTAAAGCACTTTTCTTCTTTAAATTTGGTTACAATAAAACATCTAAGATTCAAGTTAATACAATGTCGACTCTAATCGTATTATAAACGAGCAATTGAAATAAAACTGAAAGTTTATTTTCCAGTTAGTTGGCAGTGAAGTGGGAAACCTAATATTCACGCTATACAAGTGTACTTCAAATAGTGATTCTTTAATGGATAAGTAATGACAAACGAAATCAAATGTCAATATATATTTAAAAAAAATTTTTTTTCAAGTCCTACAATGTCACTTGATAGGCTTCTACTATCGTAATGTTGATTTCAATCTGAATTTGTTTTCACTTCTATCAAGTAAAAATGATGCAGATTTTCATGAAATTCTTTTTTTTTTGTCAATTTTCAAATATCAAACAGAAACTCTTGTGAAATAATTAAAAAAAACAAACAAACTTTCAATACGCTTAAGTCCAATTTGTTGAAGAATTTGATCAAATGTTAATTTCTGCGCTTTTAAACCATAACGTTGAAGCCATTCAGAACTTTTCAACTATGAAAATAAGATATTTTTACTATTTTTCATCTAAATTATATATCTATTCTATATATACTTGACTTGATATATAAGGTGGATCAGCAGCCGTATATGCTGTAGTATCTTGAGATGATGTAGTTAAATCAAAATTTCGAGTTTCACCATTCGTATGTGAATAAGGAATGGCAAGAAGAGCATTAGTTGATGCAGAAACTGAAGTTCGACCATTTTTAAATGTCGTCATCGAGACAAAATTTTGGTTAAAAGCTCGAATACAAATAGTGAAAATTATCAAAATCCACTATTTATCAAATCCAGTTTCCCATTGCAATGTACGTTGCTATGGTATGATTACGAACAATGATTGATTTGTATAAAATTCGATTTGTTATGAAAAAAATAAATAAATTTTTAATTATAAACATGATATTATTTGATTTTCTATTTTATAAATTATTTTTCTTCATTAATAGTGCTTAAATAAACCAATGAAAATATAGAATGAGTCATCATGGAATTTTCTTCATTGGTTTTACAGACAAGATTCTAAGAGAAGTAAAATGTTGAAAAGAATTATTCGTCAAAGTATTCATCTTCAACCTATTTTAAATGCTCGTTTATCAACATCATTATGTAATCATTTACATACATTATCTAATCATATGAATGTATATCCAAATAACTCAGTAAATAATTGAAAATTTTTCATTGATAATATTAATCAAAAAAACAATCATTCTTTTCATAGTTTTGGCCATATGTTATCGTATCACGTCGTACAGCAATACTTGATCAACATATCAAAGAAGCTGATCAAATGCATACACGACCACCTTCTACACCACATGATATTGAAAGACGTGTATTACGTGTTTGTAATGAATATGATAAAATTCAAGAAGCTAATAAAAATAATGTAAATTTAGAAGAATTTAAAATCTTTACTTGTAATGATAAGATTTAAGAGGGTTCTCCTTTCATAAACAAACTTTTTAATTTTTCCATGGAATTCAATCAAAATTTTCGGAGAATGTTAGTTTTGGTTAGAGTAGATTATGGTTAAAATATCTTCCCAAATCTGCGCGATATTAACGGGTTATAGTCAGTTTATTATTGGTCAAAACTATCCTGTACCCAGGCAAAGTTTTCACAATCAGGATACGAGTTAACATGCCGGAGCGGTTTTTAAGTTGTAGATCCTCACAGAGCCCGATTTTTGAAATTCCTTTTGTTTATTTTTTAAAAAATCTTTTCCGAAAAATTCTCGAATTCATAGTCAAAAAAATCGTTGATAAAAACGAAATATGTAAGTTTTTTATTTCGCCAATAGAGAAATTCAAAAATCGGACTCTGTTAAGATCTAGTCCTAACTGTCCACTATGTAGTATAAAAAAAAATTGTCACTTCTATATTGAGTCGTTATTGAGTAAGGTTTGCCTGCGCAAATAGTATACTCGAAAAAACGGAAAATAAGTTTTTAAAAACTTTGTTTTTTTTCAATATAGGAGTTCCTTAAAATTCATCCTAAAATCAACCAATTATAATGAATTCGAGAGTAGACACTTTGTTCTATCTAACAAGCCATAAATCACAAAATTGATAAATTTGACAAAGAATTGAGTTTGTCTGAGGGGAGAGGATCCCCTTAATGAATAATGAATGAGCTAATTATTGTAATGAATATTTTAATGATATTTATCATTGAGGTTTTGTTTATTTTTCAAAGATCCTCATAGAATATTTATAATCTTATAGAAAGAATATTCTTTATTGCTATCGTCTATCATTGACTGAAAAACTTTCTATATAGGATACGCTTTAGAGACATCTAATGGATTGCCTTGAGCTAATAGGTATTTGCATAATAAAATAATCTCGAAATATATATCAGTGTGAGCAATCCATCGAAGTTCAAACTTAATTTTAGTCTTGTTTTGAAACACTGATTAATAATTGTATTGGTATATGAAGAATCTATCAAAAGTTATTTATAAGTTTTTAATGAAACTTGTACTAAACGACCGACTATGTATAAAAGAAATAGCAGCATACTCTTGCAATTTATATATCTCAAAAATCAATTCGAATTTTGACTGAACGTTTTGCTTGATTCAATTGTGAATACAAATATAAATATTTATCATCAGCAAAGTTTCGTTGACTTACATTAATACAATTTGCAATAGTAATTCTTCAACATTTGAGATTTTATTTCTTAATTTAGAAGCTATTCTGTCATAGAATCATTTTTATAGTATTTATTAGTATTTGCTAAATTCTCAGAAGAAAGATACATTACTCTGGAGAACACATGATTTTTTTATGATTTGTTTAGATTGTTTTCTTTATCTTTCGATTGATTACCATAGTGTTTTCTTATATTCTGTATTAATTTTAGGATAAGAACACTTCTTTTGATAAATTACGCTTTCGAACAGAATAAATCGATTTATTATAAAAAAAAGAATTTCTTCCTTTCTTTTGTTTCATTTAGATCACATTGTCAACGCATTTTATGAAAGACCTTGGTCTAGATAGTCTTGATCATGTTGAAATAATTGTTGCCGTAGAAAATGAATTTGGTATATTTATAGATTCTATTTATAATTCTTTCTATATAGTCGGTTTTTTTTTAATTTATTTCTAGGTTTTGAAATTCCAGATAGTGATTATGATAAATTATATACAATACAGGCAATGGTTGATTATTTAGTTCAGAAAATGCGTATTGTTTAACGTCCTAAACCTGTTATTTCATCAGTATCTGATCCATGTTATGATGAACATCATCATTGATTTATTGTTGAACATGTTTTTTTTTGTCTCCAATAAAAATGCTGTTGTTTCTTTTTTTAGTTACCATTATTTACTTAACTCTAAATCACTGAACACGTTTCGAAAGATGAAATAACATAAATGAAGTTATTCCTTGGTTTATTTTTATCGTCTGTAATGTAAGAAAAAAATAGCACGCAAAAACCCTGGTAACAACAACTACTACTACATTTTTTTCTCGTTCTGAATGAGAATGAAAAAAAAAAAAGAGGTCAAATAAAAGAAGCAGCTGACTCAATTGGCAGATGATAGAACGACGAAGAAAAAAAAACCAGAAGACGGTAGTATTAACGAGAAAAGAATATCATCTCTATTGAGAAGAAAGGCGGCAACGAAGTGAAGTTTTATATACGCATACCAAAAAAAAGAAAAACACTATTTCAACCGATATGATGAACTTATAAAGGCTATTAAATATTCGACGAATACAAAAATAAATCTGAATTAGAAAAAAAAAAAAAGGTAAGTTATATAAAATTCAGATGAATGATTCAATACTACTCAACTCTATTTTTTTATTGGTCAGAAAGAAATGAGAGAACTAAACAGAGTCAATGTGTATCTAAGCTTTCCTTGTAAACATACAAATACTTTCAAGCTTTCTCATAATGTCTATATAAAATTTTCTTCTAGCCGGAAGCGAACCAGCAAGCCTATTTGTTCTTATGTTTTTTTTTTTTCGTTCTAAACACATTTCAATAATAGGAATAGTTCTACTATGTAAATAAATCAAATTTTCTTTTCTACAAATGTAATTTCTAAACTCGAAAAAAAAAAAAAAAAGAAAATTCATTTTATAAAATTAATATATTTTCTATTGACAAGATGTATTTGCATCGCCAAACAAAGCTTGAAACAATCTGATAGAATGTTAATATCAACAATAAAATGTTAGTCATATAAATCAATCTAGACAGTTTGTCACTGATTGTTTTGTATCAATTATGATTTCCCTTTCAAAGACAATAATTTGAATAAATCTTTTGTTTTTATTTAATAGAAGAAATTTTTTATAAATAGAAATTTCTTTTGAATGTATTACATTATTTTGCATGCTTCTCTTCTACGGTTGATTTAGCATCATCGTTAAAAATAGCTAAAATATCATACTCAGCTAATGACGTATATGTAAACTGAAAAAAAGAAAGAAAGAAATTCTCATGGGAATTAATATTCGTATTTTCTCTATAATAATATCAAACAGATAGAACTGTATTTCTGTCTACTTATATGTGACCAATTATACACATTAGACATCATCCGTTAGTAATTAATAATTACTAAACATTCAAATTATTATTTTTATTAAAAAAAGTAATACTTAGTAATTTTAATGAATATTTTTGTCTTTTATCTAAAACAGATGCTGAAAAAACGAAAGAAAGATTTATTATATTGTTTTTCTTATATATTTGGATTAGACTCAGATCAGATAAAACATTATTATCATGTCCGATAAATCTTCTATGTCAGAAAAGAATGAGATGATGATAGTTTTTATTGATTAAATAAATAAATGAGGATGATATTAATAATAAGTAAAAAAAAACACAAAAATCTACTAAAATGTCTATATAAACATGTTGTTTGAATAGTGACGATGATATAACTTATCTTGTCACGTATCACATCCCCATGGATTGACCAAAATTATACATACATCAAATAGATAATTCAATCATCAACTTGAAAACGCATTCGCTTTTTAGATACGACACTCCATTTTCTTTTTTTTTTTTTTGCTAACAATCATGCTAGTAATGTCTGTGTATATATCACATAGATTTTTCCTTAGAGACTGCATGCTGTCATCTTTTCTTCCGTCCTATTTCTATCATCACGCTATCATTTTTTTTTTATCAATATGATCGATACCTTTTCCGTTGTTCGAAGAAAAAAAAGAAAACAAGTGAGAAAAAAATTATTGAAATTTTCTGTTTTCATGTACTCTAGTAATGACATTGGTAGAAATTGTGTTAGTTTTTGGTCGTATATTTCATTATATGTTTAAGTACTCTTGAAAATTATATTTATTTTTCATCTTCAATAGATTGATTTTATTAAAAGTACTTGGACATCAAACAAAAAAAAAAAAAATATTTTCTAATTAAATTTATTTTCGAACTATGGGTACACATCATTCAAAAGAAAATCATCGATTAAAATCTTCAACTAGTGATAATAATAATAACTGGGGATCATCGATTACTACGACAAATAAATCTCTTATTGTCAATAAAAAAACAGATTATTATGGATGGCAAGAAATTTATCGGGGTTCACATATTGATTGGCTTCATGGAATATCAGGTAAGAAATATTTTTTAAGAAAAAAAAAAAATTCTTTTTTCTTTATTTTAATTTATATCAATTTTAGAATTATTTGGTTTTATTCATCATACATTTACA